ACGTTAAATATAATATTTTACAATACCAAAATAGATGGTCTTCCTTCAGTTTTTTATACCATATCTCGACACTAGCTAACTTGCAAGCGAGTTATTTATCTTGGAAGTACTTACACTTACACTTAGCAAACTTACATGTGAGTTATTAGCCAAGAAATTGCTTACTGTATTGCAATCTGAATTATGAAAATCACCATGAAATGATGAATGTTGAATCCCAAATAGTGTTAATCGGAAAAACAATAATTATGAATTTGTAGAAATTACAAATATGTATAATTGTATAAAACTTTATTTTATTAAGACTAAATTGCTTATTTTTGTTGACTTATTTGGGTCGTCTCTCAAATATTGCCAATATGTTTTCTAGACATGTAAGTAATGTTAAAAGTAAGAGAGAATTATTCTACCATTTAAATTCCTCTGAGCAGGTCATGACTTACATTGCATCTCTCTGGGTCCCTTCGTTTAGAAGGCACATACCTCGAAGTAACTTTGTAACCGGATGTGGAAATTAACGGGACCATCTTATATACATCTCCAAATCTCTTGGATGAGCTTTTCTTTCAAAGGCACGCATCGATAAAAACAAAACTAACATTAATATTCTTTGTGTAGTGGTAGTTTTAGCAAAGTTTTTATTGGAAATTGATAACATTATTATGTATAAAAAGAGTGTACGTTTGACAACAACTGAGAATTTAATTTTGTATAATTAATAACTTCTCATCTTAAGAACTCATCTCTGAAATTGGGGTTGTACGGGAAGTGTTAATATTTGCCAAACACTTCTCGGCAATTTGAATATCAAGAGAGTGAGCATGATTTTCACGACAATAATTTATTTAAAAAAATATTTTTTAAACTTGAAAAAGCTTAATTGCAGTCAAAGATAAGTTATGTTATTACACTTGTTATACATGATTTCCGTATTTTCTATTTACATTTTAAAAATTATTCGGTGTCACAGATTAATACGTTACAATTGGTGTGAAAATTTGTATTCTTAATTGTTTTGGCATTTCCAATACAAAGAGACAAAGATAAAAATATCCAACTAGCTACACTAACGACGACCCCAAAACACAATTATAATTAGAACATACTGCTGTAAATATTATACGTATAACTGTTTTTTTGTCTTTATTGCAGAGGGAGAAACCATTTCAACTAACTTCTGTATTCGAGTCACAAACGTATATTTCTACCTTCTGCGTAATGAAAGTATCAAATGTCCTCTTGCTACTAAATGAGAAAGTGCTTGTGGCCGTTGAAAGGAAAACAGCTAAGGGTTCAGAATGCTATCATTTTCGATAGAATGCGCAAACAAGCATTCTTTGGCTTATCTAAGTTCCCATGTCAGGATTAACAGACCGACCACTTCCTTAGCACTTCATTGTTTCCTTTTCTTGTTTCAGACCTTTGTTTTCTAGCCTCATGAATCTGCAGTTACCCAACTATCGTCTCTATGTCAGGAGAAAAGGGAGTTTTGTTTCATTTAGTGCATTGAGTGCTCATATCATCTTACGCGCACATTTAATTTATTTCTCCTGATTTCCGCATTATGTTATCACTAGCGATCGAATTTTAATTAAATGTCATTTTTTTCTTTTTCTTTGGATCAATGCCGTTGTGTATAGAAACTAATTGTATGTTATGACATAAGGAAATGACCCATTTTTATGAAATTTTGTTTTGTATCTTTCGTCCATTTCGACTATTAAGTAATTTTGAACATTTTCCGGCATACTTAATGATTTTTTGCTCATTTAATCGATTCTAAAAGGTACTGGCTTAAAATAATATTTACGAGATGCAACAATTATTCTCAACAAAATTCTTAAATAGTCTACTCAATTTCTTTGCTCAGAAATTGTAATGTCAGCCATTGTGAGCATGTGATATCTATCAGGTCATTTGTTGCATCAGCCCATTTCGAGATAACTATAGACAGAAATTTCACGGTAAAAAACAGTCCAAACTGAAAGAAAGCTGAGTTCACTAGAACGAATAGAATAAACCTCGAGTACATCAGTAACGTATCCAACAGTCTGGGTTCTTCATTCGAACTTTTTCGATCACATTTTTAAGATATTTTTCTTTGATTTAAGACATTTTAACAGCATTTTATTGATTATTTTCGGCCATGTTTTAGGTCATCAAAATCCGCTTCCTAGTTATCATGCATACATTGTGGTGCTTTTTCATCCGTATTATAAAACCTGCTAAGTAATTATCTGACTTGCTGACTAAGTAATTATCAGAACAGACAATGGGCAGTCGCCTGGTATCGGACGTTGCACTGAGGCGTAATACTATCTCGGATAACATAGCAATCAACAGGTGACATAATATTAAAAGGGCAGATTTCGGAACAAGTCGAGGGTTCTGATTTTTATACAATCTGAGCACAGAACATTTGTTAAATGAAACTTGTATAAGCAGTTGACATTCTACATGCATGTGACGTCAACAAAACAGACTGGAAAATGGCCTCTTTCCCTATTTCTTTACTGTTTTTCAAAATATTCTTCTTCAGATCATACTTCTTGGGAAGCATTCCTATTCAAAGCTTCAAGGAAGTAAGAAAACGTTCTAATTTTTAATTAAAATCAAATTAGCCAACGTTAAATGATCTACAATATAAAATTAAATATCCAGCGTCAGTTTGCTTCTAAACTTTCCTATTACTCACGGATTGATTTATTATGTAACACTGTGACGTTAAGAGATTGTTTGAATAATTTCAAAACACACTCTTCACTCACAACATTTTCTATCTTTATTTCTTTATGGTCTGTCACCCATTGGAACGATTACATTAACTTTTCTAAGTCGATGTGTTTACATTGTATTCTGACTGGAATATTCTAAAAAATTCCGCAATTACTCAGGCTGCGATATTTCAACCTCAATACCATTGCCTCTGCATCATTGTTCACCGAGAGATTCTAGGGTTCGAATCCCGATGGTAACAGATTTTCAACACTACCTGGATCGAATACAATCACTCTCTCGAAGAGAATTCTAGCAGTCGGCTGAGGTAACCTCGTTACTTACAATACCAGGTTACGATCAATCCCAAGTGAATGCCTTAGCTGTCACGGAAAACTCGCAATCGTTTTTCTTCATCTTTGGGCTCTCTTCTTTTCTTACACATACGCACACACATACACATACACGCGTAGATTAAACAATGCATTACACTACCTATATAATAATTCGAATGACCTGTACTACCAATACTATAATTCGGGAGTCTAGAGCTTATCCCGCTTGAAACGGCGGCGGTCCTCTGCCGGGAACAAGGACCGAAAGAGAAAACCCCACATTCCTACGTGTACGTCGGGGCAGGATCTCATGATCCAGTGTTGCCCTTGAAGATTCAACGTTCACCTTACGATAAACATACGGGATTAACGCTTTAAATGAATTCAATATTCACATTCGATTACTTAAATAAGTGCAATGAAACTATCATTGCGTCATCGATTCTGTTTTTGTCTCACATATAAAATTCATTTTTGCCTCAGATTGGGTCGGGACTCTTTGAAATTTGATATTTCTTATTTACTGAATGAACTATTAAATCATCACATCGAATCCTTCTAAAACTATCTTCAACGCTTTTAATTAATTATAAATTTAAATGTTTAATTAATTATAAATAAATGCTTCAAATACAAATTTAATGAAGCAAGAGTTTGACCCAATGAATGATCCAATCTTTGAATTAGTATTTTTCCTCAGTATTATCTGAGTAAACATTTATACATGTAATCATTTAAAATAAAACGCCTTGAGTATCCTCTGGAAGTAGGCTACCGGATATCCGTAGCCTGGCGCTTAGCTGTCGCTCCGCGTCTCCTTCCACACAGATCGAAATCGCCGCAGCAACTGGAGAACGCGGATTGCGTGATTCCGCACTTTCTTACCCCGAATCGTCAAATGCGCCGAAACTGCACTGCTTTGGAAGCGACACACTTAATCTCCTTGCAGCCGAGATCGCTAAGGCGGACACGCTTTGGCGGCCAGATCGATCGGGGAGTACCCATTTTGGTGAAAATCCGGTGAACGGTGGTGTTGTCCACGGAAAAAAACGGACGGACAGACTGATGTTTTGAGGAAAACCACGTTTTTGATATCAAGGTCCTATGAAGCGTTGATTCCGCCTGCCCTTGAGATTTGAGAAAGACATTTACGTAATATATAAAACAAATATTCATGTTTTGGCTATCAGGAACCTTCAAAATGTTTTTCTGCTTTACGTTGAAGAGAAAGAAACTGGGGATAAAAATAAAGAAACAAGAGAATTTGAGAAATAAAGATTCGACGTTTGACAGTAATTATTTATTGTTTACTTAGCAAAATTAATAATTTTAAAATAAAGCAATTTTTCGACTCATCATTTTTTTAAATAAAGAATACTGAATCGTGAGTTGCAGTACCATAAGTTTCAAATTTCGAATTCGTACTTAAAGAGTGTCAAAATTTTAAAAGAATGTAAAGAAAGTTAAAACTGTAAATAGTGTTATTAGTGTAAAAAGTAACAAAATTGTAAAATTAAAATTAACGAGCATCGAGGAAATAAATAAATAATAAAATTAGAAACAAAACAAAATTTAAATTATAGTGAATACTTATTACTGTAATTCACATTTCAATCAATAATTTGACGAAAGAATAACCAGGATTGTGTGCTATTTAAAGAATTGTTACAGATTCAGAATATTTAAATAGCATCAAAATACTTTTCACTGAAGTATGTTAAAAAGTGTTCTCCAGTCGATTGTAGGGTACGGATCCAACTTTTATTTGCAATTCATGTACATGAATATAAGGTCTAGACTATCCATAATATTATCGGATGCTTTTGATGCTTTTATTAATTCGTATTACTAGCTGAAATTTTTGTTTTGGTGCTGTAAATTATAGACGTAATTACGTAGAACAGAAATAGTTTAAAAGGTAGAAGGAATAGTAGTTTTTGTATTTGCACTTGCTCAGGAGTGACATTTTAGTTGTCGTCTTGATAGTAACCAAAGATGATTTGACGGTAAAGAGGAATATACCTGGAAATAATAAAATAATATTCCTTCAACCTATGAACTGTAGAATTTTAACAATGCATTTCAAAGCTTTGGTGCAATTTAAACAGTAATGAGATTTTAAAACTTCATTCTCTAGACGGAAGACTGTGGAAGGAAGTGGATATTATGTAGGAAGACTCTCAGCGTAATACTTACATAAAGCAAGTGTCCTACAAACCCCGAGTAATATGACGTCTTCTGCACGATGTAGGCACAATGATTAAGCACGTAATGAGAAAGTTGGAAGTTCAATGATGGGCATTAAAAACGGTCAGTGGTGCAAATACTTCATCGTCATTCCGTTAAATCGCAATACTTAATCCCAAATCTTCAACTAATAGTGAAGTACCTACAACAAATCTTATTTTGTAGTTAGTGTTCCTGTTTTTGCAGAGTTTCAATCAACCCCAATTCAATTTACGAGAAGGAAATAAAATTATTTACCTCATGTATTCTGTATTTCTGACAAATAATTATTTAATAATATCGATACAACTCTTTGATTAAGAATCCAAGTAGATAGATAGATAGATAGACAAGTAGAGATAATTTATTTAATTTGCTTTGGGAACTAAGCCTGGTGGCAAATTCCTCACACATTATAAATAACACAAAAATACATAGAATACATAGTAGTGTATTATTTCATTGATGACATGCCTACTAAATTAAGAGGTTCTTCACAAACTACTGATCTTATCGCTTACAACACTAGAATTTAATCTTAACATTTAACACTTTAAGTTTGTGGGAAAAGTCTCCATTAGCTTTCCAGGCAAGCTATTCCATGATCCGATAGTCAAATTTACAAAAGAGTATTTCCCAACATCAGTTCTGTTTCCGTGGACGAATTTTTCTAATATGGTCGTGGCGTGCCAAGTAAACGGGTACATGCATTTTTTTCTGAATTTCTCTCCACGCCGGAGTTTTCACTAATGCTTTGTGAAATATATACAACCTTGCCTTTTTTCCTCGCCAAAGATAGTAAATGCTATTAATTACAATTTATTTCATGCATTATGTAATTTTATTCTAGCTTTCAGCAATACCGGACTTTTAATTGGTACATAGGTAAAATAAACTAATAAATAATGAATTAATTTGTTCCTTTCAGTTACAATTTCTTTCTTTCATTCATTGAAAACTTTTCTTACACCCGATGCTGAGGAACCAGTTCTCCGAAATCAGTCTGAGTGAAAGAGGTTGTTTGTAGTAGTGCGTGGAATTATTTTTTTGCGTGTGCGATTAAATGCAATAAATTTAAGAAATTTGTTGTAGCGGTGACTTCAAGATGTAGAAAGAATTGTCTAGTAATTCACTATTGTTTATTACTGAGCCACAATAGAGCAGAAGTGAAAGCGAGTATTGATCCAAGAGTGAGATAAAATTAAGAGCGAGTTAGTTCACAAATCAATATTGCATTTTTTGTTATTATGCTTATTATCATGTTTAATTTTAATTTTTTGTATACCAAGTCATTAAAAATGCACACAGAATAGCTGAGAGCAAAAACACAAAGTATTTCTAAAATTTGTCACTGTAACCCTATGCTGGATTTGAGATGTTTATTCATATACGTAAGTGGAATAAATAAGTTTAAATTACGCACATTTACGTAGAATATAAAAGACCAATTATAAATATTTATTTGACCATAAATATTTATAAGGTAAAAATTCAAAGTTCCGGACAGATGAACACCATCTAAAATTTTAGTATTTTGCAAATTGAAATTGTATTGAACACGTCACTCACAGTTCACTTAGCACTGAACACTGCATTTCAATAATTCAACTATTTACAGTGATGCATATGATATAATAATAATAATAATAATAATAATAATAATAATAATAATAATAATAATAATAATAATGTCTTTATTAATGGCGAGGCTCAGGCCATAGGGCCTGCTCTTCCGCCTAACCACTGAATTTACATACATTTAGAGTAGTAACATTTTAAGAGGGGAGGACAAGCTGTACATTTACGTCTGGGAGAACAAATCTAAGGACCATCCCGGCATACGCCTTAAGCGATTGAGTAAACCCATAAAAACCTCAATCAGGATGGCGGCTTAGGGCCGAACATTAATAGAACGAAAGGTTTGATAGGTTTATAAAAAAAACATACCAAATTTTCTAGACCTGTGTACCAATATTTTGACCCTAAAACTCCATCCCAATCAGCAATGAGTCGTCTCAATGAAAGTATTTAATATTTTTTGCCAAACACGCAGCTGCACCTTACGACATTTCCCGTAGGAATTTTCTTTTACGACACTAGATGCGCTGATATGACTGTGGTATGTCATGATAGTGCGAGTTGTGCAACTATTATCAATAAGCAACCTTGGTATCACTAAGCTTATTTTTTTGTTCTTTCTTTGTTTCTTTTATGTTTCTTTCTTTTTACGTTTCTTTCTTTTTACGTTTCTTTCTTTCTTTCTATGTTTCTTTCTTTCTTTCTATATCTGTTCGTTTATCTGTTCGTTTATCTGTTCGTTTATCTGTTCGTTTATCTGTTCGTTTATCTGTTCGCTTATCTGTTCGCTTATCTGTTCGCTTATCTGTTTGCTTATCTGTTTGCTTATCTGTTTGCCTATCTGTTTGTCTATGTGTTTGCTTATCTGTTTGCTTATCTGTTTGCTTCTTTGTCGATTGTTTGCAATGCCCGAACCCTTCGAGATTGCTCCATTGTCCCTCCCGCGTCTTGGTGAAATTCTGGTAATTTTCTAGTTGGTTGCTATATGCTTCCAGAGTAGTCTGGAAACTTGGCCTAGGGATTTTTAGTCCCAAGTAGACTCACTACAACGGTGTCAGTATTTATTTAAAACCTCCGCCATTCCGAGGCCAACGAGTAAGGAATGTGATTAAGACGGAAACTTCCCTATTCGTCCCGCCGGTGTCCTGCCTGGTAAGGAGGGAGCCAGCCGCGCGTTGACGCGAAGTGGCTCGAGGCTGCGATTCCTGGGTTCCGCATTCCGGAGGGTCGCGTGGTTGGGCGTCGCCGAGCCAGAGGTCGGAGGTCGGAGGTCGCCGACCCTCCGCCGCGAGAACAATTCGCGACTCCCCCTCCTCCTCCCCCCCTCCGACAGACACACGCGAGCGCCCCTCCGGAAGCTGCTTTTCGGCTGCGGAGGCTAATTCACAATTTGCATCCAAGACCCTCGCAGTGTCGGACAGCGCAGCTTTCTTGCGATTGGATCAGAAATAATTTCCGTCAAAATTTTTCGAAATCTTCTTCCTATCTTTAGTCGCCCTTCATTTACTTTTTAATATACTCTATTGCTTTTCTATAACAAATTAAGACCAAACCACAATGAAATTGAGAACGTTACATTGAAATTGAGACGCTAGTATTTGACTGCGGGGAGGAAATCACTATTTGAAATTCACATTTTGCCCAAAACGGTCGCTGTGTCGGTCAGGACATAATCTTTTGACATTTACTTCCTATTTTTAATAACCCTTTATTAATTTTGAATTTACTCCGTTACTTTTCTATCTAAAATTGAGGCGAGTTCCCCCAAGAAAGTGAGAACATTACATTCAAATTGAGAAGCTGGCGTTTGAGTGCGGACACGAATTTTCAATTTGGATCCAATACCTTCTTCGAGTACATCATGGTAGCTTACTTGCGATTGGATCCACATTCAGTTCGGACAAAATCTTTCAGAATATACTTTGTCTTTAACCTCCCGTATTTATTTTCGAATTAACTCAGATTGAGAAGAATCCGCAAAGAAATTGAGAACGTTACATTAAAACTGATAAAATATAAATTCATATTGAGATCAAACAAATCTATAAACTGAAAATAAATAGGAAATTACAAAACTGAAAAGGATTGAACATAGTTTGGCTGATTGAATCATTAAAATCACATTTTCTTCTTTTTGTCTTCATTCTTGTCCGTCTCATTATTCTTCTTCTCTTTCTTTTTCTTCTTCCACTTCTTTTTCCCCTTTTCAATATTAATACATTGTTATGAAACCGAATTTATAATCTCAATATAAATGTGATCATTCTCGATTTTTGTGGAGTGTCTCAATTTGAAAGTGACTGCTCCGAATTTGATGTTGAGAAATTACAAGTTATTGTATCACGGTTGACTATTTTCAATACATTCACCGAACTGGTCGTGTGTGGAAACAAATAAATGATAGCACATATGCGATGTCTCTACTCTTCGAAGTTTCAACGTCATTATACGCAAGAGATATGGACGACACGTTTTTACCGGATTCTTGTATGTGACGGTTCGTTACGAAAACATTATGATTAATATGAAATTGTTGATTTATTTGTGAATTATTTACTTAAAATTTATTATACATTATGTTGTACAGTTGTTAAAATAACAGAATAATATTTGGGTGACCAAACAAGAACTGTCAAGAATCCTCTATTTAGCATTTGAATCTTCCTTGGTCGAAGTCATCTTTCGGCAAAATTAGCATTGAAGAAAAAAGTTGTTACTGGGCTCAAATAAATGACCGCGTTTGCTTGAAGGTCAGACTCGCGAAATTCCCCAAGTAGCACGGAAGGTCGAATTGAAAATCTCCGCTTCAGTGGGAAAATACAAAAACACATCAATTTGTAAAATAGATTCGCTCAAATACTAAGATGTGCACATACTTGAAATCATCATTTTATGCCCTTTTCAGCACTAAAATTTAGCATTGGGTTCAATTTAAAAAACAACAAACTTATATCCTCGTAGTAAAAAATAGTGCAAAGATTATGTATGCGGTAATCAAATAGCCCCTGTTTATACAACCGACATTCCAAACGTCTTCTTATCACGCACGGTTGAGGAGATACAAGGGGTAATATCACTTAGTTGTTCTACCCTATATATTGAAATATTAGCGTTATACAAGTCTTGCCATTCTCGACGAGTGTCAGCAGCTGCAAAATTTCGAACCGAAAGTTGACTCTTGATTGGCTCACGTGCATTGTACCGAGTGAAGTGACCAT